GCGTTGTGCTGGTAACATGAAAGGGATAGGGACGGGGGTGAGGAAAGGAGATGTGGACCAGCACTGTGACAGTTGCGAGTTATGCGTATAAGCCGCTGAAGATATTTCAGTGTAAGCTTAGATTTGTTAAAATATGATTTAGTGGACATCCCCTTCCGTAGAATCTGCTAAAGAGAATACACAAAGAGAGTGAAAGGGAGGAGGGATGGGCAAAGAAAAGTATTGAAGCAGAAGCAAGACGGACAGAGGGAAGGAAATAGTGGACAGATGTTGTTGATATCTATCTTGATGACAATGGCAGGAAGAACAGTGGTAGTACATTTCAGAGCAAGTCTTGACTGGTACTGCCGTTTATAGATCCTGACGTCTTCTCAGGTCTCTCTGAAATTGACCATCCTTCCTTCATATTTTAAATCCATATTTCTCGTGTATCCAACCAATTGCATTTTATCCATTTGTCTCTAAGAAAATCGACTTGCTTAATATCTATAGTTAAGATTTCTGGTTCTTCCACCAAATGGTCAGTGCAGAAATTCAGTGTCCTGGAGAACAAACATTAGTGCTGATTGTGGCGATATTTGACATAGTGGCGAAGAGGGTCACTCTGACACTACGAACATCGACGTCCACAGGATTAAATCGAGACATGTGATATGCACTGTGCGTAGTTCAAAACACATGCATCCTGTGCGTAGTTCCTGATGGGTGTTGGTTGAACTGCCAATCATTTCAGGGCCGTATGCCTCTCGATTTTATAACATTCGTCGTTAGGATTGACTAACATGGACCTCCATGTTTTCATATCTTCCACCATTGGATGGTTCCTTTACTCATTCCTGTTTACTTCCCAAGATTGCATTTTGTCAGTTCAGCAGAATTGTCTGTAACCTCAGGCCTAGAACGGTCATAACGGCAATGAAACAATAGCATGTAAGCATTGATCTAATGTTTTCTTTCAGTGAAAATTGCTTTCTAGATCACAACGATTCGCCTGGCAAATTTTCATGCATCAGCTTCCGGAATTCTAATTGCCTATCGCCATGTAATGGAATGTGCAAATGGGTTTTGATGAATGGTCATAGTTATTGCATTTAGGTACTTACTACTTCCATTCTGTTCCATCTGGAACCGGAAAATGTCGTCGGTTTCTCGGTTATCTTCCTTACTGCCCTAGCCACTAATCTTCATCTGCAATAGCTGTTCCACTGAAAAGTACAATGAGAGAATAAAGCGATGTTGGTACTGCTTCAGTTTGGTTTGTTGTTTCCCCCTGATATTTGCATACCGGCACTTTAAATAATGGGGAATTATGATGAATGGAACACGGATTATCTTGAATTTATCACTGTGAACTTTTCCTGTTTACGGATATTTTAGCACTGCTTCCTTAGTTTGCTTACAAGTAGACAAGTCCAGTAAATACCTGTTCCATAGAATTCGTCATTATCTTTGGATGATATTCGAAGATAATTGAAACCTTTAGGAATAGATATTTAATCACTTGTACGGATTCTGTAAACTGTCGTAAATGGAATCTTCCGAATAAACATTCACTGACTTGATTAAAGGACTATTTTCCGAATTCATTACACTTACAGTTTCTGACTTTAGTCCTTTGTGCAAGCAATTCATTAGTTCATTATTTTGCATCGGTTGAGTGCTATAGTTGCACAGTAGCTCCACGAAATTCACGCTAAACATTCTTTATGAAGTGGTAGTGGTAACATTAATGATCCGATCACGACGATGCCAATTTTTTTACGCTAAATCAAAAGATCCCAAGACTGATTAGAAAAACAGTTCTTATAACAGATATCATGACCCAAGTTCTTCCGGAGCCTACTGCATAAACATGTTCGATATGCCAGATGTATGACCACTGGATGATCGAGCAATTCCCGTAGCTATAAAAAAAGTTTACGAAAGTGGCCCATCAAGGTGTCCGTAATAGTAAACCTAAATTCCCACTGCTATATATTACTTTTTAATTGCGAACAAATTTATGGTTAGTATTTCCCGAATTAGTCAACTGTGCTGCTATTAAGATTAAGATCTAGTCATCCAAATTCCATCATCGCAATTTTTGGGTACTCCGAAAATTGAAATGTCGGAATTCCTCAAACAGTTCCATCATTAATGGTGTTTATTCTGAAATGTCTTATAGGAAGGATGAAATTACTTCACCTCATTTCTCTCTAATCAAACCATCGTCATGTTAGTCTTTCAGCTTGCTAAATTTGGAATTCAGTAAAAAATTTATTCACAATGGTCTCAGATTTAGCAGCTCTTAATTTAATCTAAAAATGCATTGTTGTCTGATTCCGTTTTCCCAAACTATTTTAAATCTTTTTAAGAAAAAGGTGTCTTTCCTCTTTTTCCATCTCTATTTACTTGTTCATTTCTTTTGATGAATGTTTGCAGCTGCTGGATCGGTTTCCCAAGAAGATCAGGACAGAATGAACTCCATATCAGATGGATATCATACTTCTTATTAAATTTCCTACTTCATCTGTTTCATTTTTTGATATCGCACTGTAAATTGAGTTCACTGTTGCTGTGGACGGTTAGTTCCCTGTCTTATTCTGTATTGCCTGAAAAGTGTCTTTGCAAGTTTGACTCAAATGCATCTGAGAAGGATGAGTCGGAAAAATGCTGAATGAGAGCAGTGTGCCTCTCCTCCCGCTTTTGAGTGTAACGATACCGCTCGATCTCCCTGCGGTTCTTTCTCTTATCGCTTTACCGCTGTAATCTTATTGGCTGAATTTTGTTGGTAAGTTGTTGACAATGAGCATGTTTGTGCCATATTGCAGAAATTCCCAAGGTATTCAGTACTTGCCATTTCATTATTAGGTTGTTAGTGAAGATACGTTTATATCGGTCGAACTCATATATAACCGTAATGAGAATACTCATCGTGTGTTTATTAGTAGGCTGTCAATATCATTCTCCTCATGCAGGTTCTGTCGGCCTTCCACTACTGTGGAATAATCTGGTGATATAACCATGGTGTAATGCATGAGGAAAAAGTGGTTCAGTTATGGCGCAAACGCAGCAGATGCAGCGCATGTGTTCTCTAGTTTTCATCAAGTTCAAAAGTAAAATTAGTTTTTATTTGCCTTATTTTTTAAATCCATCGTAACATTACATTACTAAATGTCAAGATTTCTTATCATGAGAATCTGGGACGCACCATCAGTGATTACTTTTAGGTTTGTAGAGTTCGATATAAAAAAAGTTACGCCCCATGTCTTTCGGATCTCCTGCCAGTATCTGTCTAGTTATTTCATTTATTTGGGTATATTATACTCTCCTCCATGCTTAATTCTTTCGAAGGTGCTATCTGTTAAACATTCCTCTCAGTATATCTTCTGTTTAAGTTGTCAATACCTTTAGATATTCTGGCCTTATTCTAAAACACCCGGAGGTACCTTTTAGTTTAAGAGGGTTGGTTTTCCTTATTAAATATTCCTAATCGAAAAGCATTAGCAATACTTCCACACGAACGAAACAAAGATAGTTATATGAAAAAATGGCGTAAGGAGTGCTTGCTGTTGGATGCGAATCTTTTATCTTATTTCCGGAAATGATTGAAAATCTAAAATTCCTTGCGTGAAAAAAACTTGTTTAAAGTAGGTGGTAAGGTGAAGATGTTTGACATTGCTTAGTAGTCTAAGGACGCAATGAAATACACCTTATGCAGTGATATTGGCATCGCATTTCTTCAGCCCTTTTGCGCCTTCTTTCGTTCTTTTAATGTCTTTGTGCTTTTTTGTGTATTTGCACTTCCTGAATGTCGTTATTGTTCTTCTGAAATGGGAGATACTGTAATTGCTGTGTACATTATGCTGTGTTTGCAGTGGCTGGGAAGTTCGAATTCAGGTGGTCGTGACGATTGCGAGACAGAAGCGATTTCGCTCGACAGTTGCGCAAGCGTTTTGGAGCCGTCCTATCTTGAAGGGTTAGCCACCTTTGATGTTCCATTGTGTCATGTGAAATTTTTTAGGGAATGGGTTTTCTGAATGTAAACATGACTGGAAGTCAAACGAGCTACAGAAAATCAGCTCAGTGCACAATTTGTCATAAATCCTTCAAACCACTACTCTTTATTCCTTTCTTCTGTCTCCGTGAAATCTGCTTGGTCACGGTCCAGAACGACTATCATTATTGTCGCCGCCAAAATTTTCCGGCAGAAGTCGCTAGAAGCAGTTTACCTTCCGGAGTATTCTACATTTCATAAGGCAGACATTGATATCCAATTTTTTTCGAGTTAGAAATGGGAAAAATTCCCAAATTACTTACATATGGTCCTTAGCACTCAGTTTCATGATAAGCACAATGGGTCTACAAGGAACAGTGGGACCATTATTTGGTGATAATTTCCGATGAGGTTGTCTGGACACTGCTGTTTCAAAAATCTATGGTCGATATTGAAGAACCAGAAATAAACAAGAAAAACGCTGAAATGCTAAATATTAACATAACGAAGTGCAACTTAGCAAGACAAAAGGGTGCAAATAGCCTTTAATTTAGACTATAAAGTAAATTGGACCATATGGAATTACATTAGTTTTCGTGATAATTTCTGTTTATTTTACTGCTGGCTGTTGCACTCACTCTCCATGCAATTCTCCGTTACGAGTTGTTTCGCCAAGAGACTCTACCTCCACTACAGTTGAATCCTTTGGGAAATGATGTATGAGAATGATTTTTCTGGCTTTCGTTTTAACTTTTTCCTACTACTTGTCCTGTTAAATATTTGATTTCTTTTTCGAAGTTACACTTGAAACGATGAATTCCCTTTGTTACTTGAAAGAACTGACAGTTTTGGTAGATTACAGATGAAGAAAAATGTGATTAAAAAAAAAAAACATAGTTATGGATTCACTGAGAAACCTCAAATGAATTATTCATGCACCGATTTCCTGTGGTCTATATTAAAATTTAAAGAGGAATTCAGTGAGCAGTGAAGATACGTAACTTTGGATTGCTTTGTCAAGTTCAAATTTATATTGAATTTCAGCGTTTATCCAACTCCCATGGCTTCCACTTCTGCTGCATCCGAATTTTACAACGTTGACATCAATGACACACGTTTGTGTGTTTTGAAGCGCTATCAAAATTTAAGGATAATCGGGTCTGGTGCACAGGGTGTCGTATGGTAAGTGGACAGATTTGGAATCGAATATAAGATTAAAAATCATGTATCAACCCCATCATGAAAATTAAGTTCATTAGATGCGATTAGGAATTTAGGAGCTTATTTGTTGGTATCATAAAATAATTTGGTGGAAAGCCAGTTGTTCAAACGAACTAGTTTCAGGTAGATTTTAGAAAGTTAGCATCATATATCCTTCCCGTAGTCACTGTTACAGTTTCACAGCACCTACTTCAGGTCAGAACTTAAATACTTAGATGCATAAATTTCAAATTAAATACGTAGTTTTGAAAAGGAATTATAATTCGAAGCTTCCAAAGTAGTTACAAAAATGCATTTATTTTTAAATTATTTGATCTTTTTTACCAAAGATTTCTTGCTTTTTCTTTTGAATTTCAAATTAGAAGGAAGGACCGGTTACTCATTATAATTTGTTGTCAGAAGTCATTTTTGACTTTTGAATTTTTCTGATTCCAATGAATAAAAAATTGTAGTGCTGCACATGATACTCTTCGTGATGAGCAAGTCGCTATTAAGAAGCTGAGTCGTCCGTTCCAAAATGTGACGCATGCTAAACGAGCTTACAGAGAGTTCAAATTGATGAATCTTGTCAACCATAAAAATGTTAGTTTGCTTTTAAAATATTCTGAGATTCCACTACCTTTCCTTCCCCACCGGTTCTCGGATTAAAGTGCAGAAGTTCATGTATTTTCCATTGTCATCGATTTTGTGCGCAAATGTAAACTGATCATCTAATTAAGTCGTATGTATTGTTGTTTATGATTTTTAATCAATATCTGGTTACTCAAAAATGAGCGAAGATTACTAAAGACTATTTACTTTTGTGAAAGTGTTTGGTATATTCAATAATCTTTAGAAGCGAAAAAGACATAAGACTCCAAGTAATACATTTTCAGTTATTTTTCATCTTTTTCCCGAAGGATTTTTTTTCCTTTTTTTTTGTTAGATAATTGGATTGTTGAATGCATTCACACCTCAAAAAACACTCGATGAATTTTCCGATTTGTACATAGTAATGGAACTTATGGATGCTAATTTATGCCAAGTAATCCAAATGGACTTAGATCATGAAAGGATGTCCTATTTGTTGTATCAAATGTTATGTGGTATCAGACACTTGCATGCTGCGGGTATCATACACCGGGTTATTTTTATTTACGTTAACCTCTTCATGACTCTTTGACTCTTTGTTATCTTTGTTATCAAGAGTAGCAAAAGGCGACGTTCCTAATTCTTTAAAAAGAGTGGAAGATTTTGTGATTTCAAAAACGGATGGATGGTCGAGGGTTTCAGACTGAACACCGTTTGTAAATCTTCCCTAACTGATATTAGTCACAGTCCTTCGTATGAAGTCTAATAAGTATTTTTGCTACTTCAGTGTTATAGCTACTTGTTTCTAATGAAAAGTTGTTTAGGATCTCAAACCGAGCAATATTGTTGTTAAAAGTGATTGTAGTTTGAAAATATTGGATTTTGGTTTAGCGCGAAGTGCCGGTGATTCATTTATGATGACGCCATATGTTGTAACACGTTACTATCGTGCACCTGAAGTTATACTAGGGATGGGATACAAAGATAATGGTATGTTTTTGCTTCGTGCTCCATTCAGGAATTTTATAGTAATTTGGAAGTAATGACTAACCTCTTCTTTAAATAAGAAAGGCGAGATCATGTATATGTATATATATATATATATAGTAGGGTTGGGAATTTCTAGGACTTTTTTTCACATAGCGCAGATATGTTATTGATTGCTGGATGCCATCAGTCACTCTTATCCTTATTCTTGAACATTATTTGTTTTACTGAAAGAGAAGATATTTTGAGCTGAGATGAAAATGAAACAGTCCCAGTGCATGAAAAGAAATGTGTTAAATAGCAGTGGGGGTAACCATTTGTGTTATAAAATAACGTGCATGGCTTCTTAGTTTGTTTTTGTTCGAAGATATTGTTCGAAGATTTTCGATACACAAATTTATGCAGATTGCTGCATAAATTTGTGACATATTTTCACCAAATTTCTTGCAAGTATCATCCATCACATAAACATAATTTCATTATCTAGCATTTAAGGGTCTAAAAATTTTTCGATCTGATTCATTCAAAATTTTCAATAGTGGAGAAATTATGTAATACTGAGTAAAGAAAGGAAAGATCTTACCAACAGTTTCTTCCTAAATGCATATCGTCTATAAGTCAAACTATGAGATACAGTTATATATCTATCTTTGCGTTTGAAAACAACGGTACTGACAGCAAGTCTTGGAAGTACATCTTCTTTGGATAACAATTATCTTTGGACAGTTTTTGAGGTACTTTTTTATTTTTAGTGACTATAGGGGAAAGATCATCCCACAAAGTCTGCTTTTAATCAACTTCATCAATTAGAAACGACAATCTGGCGAAATCACCCAACTCGATAACACAAAACGACATCACGACACCTGGCTGCACATGTGGCCGCTACCATGTATTTCACCACCGCTTTACTCTTCAATCCCTAAAATCTAGATGCCTCTGGTTCCTTCACCCCTCTTTCTCCTACTCCCTTTTTGTACTTCTCCCTTCCTTGAAAAACATTCTATGTAATCATCTTTCGCAAAATGTGTCGAGAATTTTAGAATTTTTTTAGCAAAGTACTCGTACTTTTTTTGACTTAGGATAATTTAAAATACATCAAATGAAGTATTTTTAAAACTTTGGACGCGGGGAAGTCGATGGAATACTATAATACAAAAAAAACGAAAATTTGTGGACGAATTCAAACTTTTAACTCGCAAAAATCATCCGGTGTATGATGCAAGTTTGCCTGCCATCATGCAATGCATTGTGTGTGTGAGTGTGTATGTATGCGTGTGTGTGTGTGTGTATGTATACGTGTGTATGTGTTTGTGTATATGCGTGCGTGTGTGTGTGTGTATGCGTACTGTGCTGCTATGCAGTGTACGTATTTCCAATTAAAAAGGTCCGCGAAGTGCAGTTATTACGTTGCACTGCGGTGTGCTTGATTGGAAGAATACTTCTAAGTTTGGCGCATACAAAACACACTCTGTCGACAGACACACTTCAGAACAACTTAATTAATTTCAAGGTAATATCTGCATGTGGAGATTGAAAAGCTTTAAAAAAATGTGATGTGAACGTACTTGGCTGATCTGTTGCTTAATTGTTGTTAGCTAAAGAATGTGTGCCTCGGCAGACATTGTTCTGGCACTAGTTGCAGTTGATGTTTGGTCAACGGGCTGTATATTCGGCGAAATGATTCGTGGTAGTGTATTGTTTCCGGGCAGTGATCATATTGACCAGTGGACCAAAATTGTTGAGCAGCTTGGTACTCCTTCACCGATGTTCATGCGTCGCTTGCAATCAACTGTCCGAAATTATGTGGAAAATCGGCCCCATTTCCTTGGTTTTCCATTCGATAAGCTCTTCCCGGATGAATTATTTCCAGCTAGCAGCAGTTCTGACTCACGACTTACTGGTATGCTATTACTTTATTGTGTTTCATATATTTTAGTTGATATATGGTCGATTGGCTGTATTTTTGGTGAACTCATTCGTGGCCGAGTTCTTTTCCCTGGTACGGATCATATTGACCAGTGGTCAAAAATCATTGAGCAGCTGGGAACACCCGGACGAGATTTTATGCAGAAGTTGCAAGCAACTGTGAGGAGCTATGTGGAGAATCGTCCTAGGCATCCCGGTCTTCCATTTGAGATTCTCTTTAGTGATAATATATTTCCAAAGCCAGCAACCAACAGTGCACTTTGCCGTAAGTTTCAAAACTACTGCTGAGGCACAGAAGAAAAAGGTTTCTAGGAAATATCTCAGCTTGAGTTTCTAGTTGTAATGACCGGAGCAGTTGTTTGTGGTCAGGAAGGGAGCAAGGGAAGATTCCCGAGATTTTTTTTATGTTGCAGATTTATCAGGTATGCTTAGAATAGCCATTGTACATCCCTCATTTCTTACATTAGCTGGCTATGACATCTTTTGTTGTATTTAGAAAAAGAAAAAAAACAGGTACACTAGGGAATTAGAGCTTGGTGAAATATGAAGTAGAAGCTTAACACTTCGAATTATACCTTCTTCCATTAAAATGGATACCTGGTAGTCCGAAAATTTTCAATCCAGATCATCTACACTTCTTATTCGTATTTTAATATCGCAGCACTTGAGTAAGTAGACATCTCTGTTTTGTCTTTTTAGCAGCGCAAGCACGTGATTTGCTGTCGAAAATGCTGGTGATCGATCCCGAAAAGCGCATATCAGTGGATGAAGCTCTGAAACATCCTTATGTTTATGTGTGGTTCGACGAAGCTGAAGTTTATGCTCCACCACCAGAACAATACAATCATAGTATTGACTCGAGAGATCATACAGTTGAACAGTGGAAAGGTGAAATGTTCAAATTTATAAACATAAGTGTGTGTATTTCCAGATTTATCGCTCTTTTTGTTATCACAATTTTCAGTTTGTTTAACTTTTTCTCGGTAATTAAATTATTCAATTAAATTAGTGAAACCGCAGTTTCGTCTGGCCGACGTTCACCATTGGTTTAAGATAACTGATGGGAATAAATATATGGGAAATTAATTTGAAAAAAAGAATGAAGAATTTTAGTACGTTTTTTTATAGGCACGATTATGATGTCCTTACAGACAGTTATCGTATAATACAGTCGTTTTCGTAGTTGTTTACTTTTGTGGTTTGAAACCGACCATTAGATTATGTTGTATAGGATTTTGTTCATACTTATCTCTCGGGTCTTTCAAGAACAACCATTATTTGATTAAGTTGTTTCTAATTTAATATTCAGTCGCGTTCATTCTACGAAAACTGATTGAAATGGGAGGGAGTGCCTATAACATTTCTAATTTTAAATGAACATCTCTTCAATGATCGAAATTTTGACGCGATTAAAAGGACATGCAACTTTGCATACTTTCTATAGTATTTTATGCAAAACAAATGCTAAAGTATTCTTTTTTTAGAACTAATATTCAAAGAAATCATGCACTACGAGCAAACGCATGACGAATATGGAATAAAGAAATCGTTAAATTGTACATCAGCTGCTGCACCATCGTCTTCATCATCATCATTTCAGAACATTGAGCATGGTGATTGCTCAACAACTGGAAGTACTCTGGTTACAAATGGCTTGTGACATTTGTAGTTTTCTATCCATTTTTGTTCTAGTCACTTTATCAGTCTTTATATTAATTAGGAGATACGCCATAGTTGTTAGGTAACTTTATGGTGGGGAGTCTTTGTGTAGGGATGCCTAATAAACAGGATTCACGAATGTTGGGAACAAAGGTGGCAGATACTTTTTATTTAAGCATTTATAATGAAGCCTGTCTGTCAGTTTTATGTTAACTTTATGTGGGTTTATGCAAAAATAAATAATGCTTATTGGAATTCTATTCCACTAAAAGTACTTGCACACTACTGACTGCTGTTTTATGCTTGGGAACTGAGATAACAGTTGCTGAAGACTGTCTAAATGCTGATATTGCGATAATGTTTTTCATGCGTATACATTCAAACATGGACCAAAAGTTGCAAAAATAATCTTTAAGTGTTAGGAAAAATCAAAAGAAATTCTGTTTTGTGGAATAACTTTGAAAAATTGAGATTTGTATACTAAACTGTTGTAGTCTGCAGATTTGCGCAATCAATTAAGTAAATTTGTAAGATTCAGTTGTTGGAAACATAGTCATTAGATAACTCGTTGCTTGAAAGAAGTCTCTTGATTTGAAGCGCAATGAAATGAATATTTCCATGCTATTTTTGATTGGCTGGACTGAAGATGCATACTCATTCCTGCTGTTTATCCTTAAAATTTGGTTGGAAATACAGATCGGTCACTTCTTTTTTGAGGAGGGATTCTGGACGGTATGTGCGTGATATAGAACTATCAGTTAGAGATTGGTGGAAATTAGAATTGTGAAGAAAACTGGCATCCCTGATGCTTTTTCTGGGCTCTTCATCTTCATTTATTTTCTCACATTTTTTGATCTCCACCTCTGTTTCTTCAGCCACATTATTCATTCCCTTACCTACAGTAGTTGGTTGTCCTAGTTGGAAGAGTTTAAAATCTCCTGAGATTCAGACGTCAGAGTAGTCTGATAAGGGCGCTGAATCATATGTATGTTCTGGGGAAGTCTCCCTTTGACACTTTAACTACTCGACGGAGAGCTTCTTAATTGTGAACGGTGAACTCAATGACTTCCAGCTTGAATGACAGTTATGACGAAGCTTAATGATAAATATGCATGAAAATATCTGTGTCGTCTTAGAACCGCTGCATAATTTTTTTATCGATAGGTGGCATAAACCAAATTCAAAGGTATTTAGACGATTCATGATAGAAGAACAAGTTACGAACAAATTTTGCATTTTAAGTTTTGTATTTTACAAAAGAAAGGAAGAGAGGATGAACTCCAAATAATATAGATAATACATGAATGATTTAGCATGTAGCACGAGATGAGATGATAAATTGTACTTGACTATAGATGCCATCTAAAATTATCACCATATTTAAATATTACTACTACTAGGTGTCTATTAAAATATTTTATTACAAGTTGAGAATCCATCTGTTAATTTCACTTTCTTTTAGCGTGCGCCATTATGAACATTTATTAGTATTGAAAAATGTTGCTGAGGATAGTTGGAATTTTCTTGACTAATTAGCAAATTTCACTGTGGATGCTTGCTTGTCTGCATACTACAAAAGATTTCAAATATTAGAAAATAATTTCTTCAATGATAATTTTCATGTCTTAAATAAAGAACCTCATAACAATTATATCACATTGGTGCTACGGCTCCATTTTTTGCGGCAATTTTGCTGATACTATCCATAACATGTGCTTCGAAAGTGTCCCGATAAAGTAGTGATACGGTATGCTGGTAAATTTTTCTGGTCAGGTGGTTTAGGAATTTGGCTTTAATTAAGCTCAGTGATGACGTGACGTCCGTAGAAAGTGTTGTATCAGCGCCACCTGGTGGTAGTCCATCAAGTTGCGGTTGTTTTTGAGCGTCGAATACATCTTTCTGAATTCCTCCTTTTTCCTCGAGAATTTGATAAGGAATGAAACTAATTCTTAGAATACCAAAACCAGCCATGATTTGAGGTGATTATTTGTCTTATTAAAAATAAAAAAGAGTTTTTGAAATTGTCACGAAAATTCCTTTATTTTGTGGTATGGGAAAAAAAATACTTGAGCAATTTTGCATACCTTATTGAATAATACAATGAAATGAGATTTTTTCAGTGTGAAATTATTGCACAGCTGTGTGAATATAGTGACACATTCATCCTCTACATTCTGAAATTTCGGCTTTTTTTTCTACAAGTTTATAATCACGGAAAAAATTTCCAGTAATAAGCTAGATTGCATGCAATGACTTTCCCTACCTAGAAGAAAAAAACTGGACTAAAGCATTACTGATAGGCGCTCTCTCCGAAGTTTGCAAAATGCAGTTAAATCAACAATATAAATAAGAACGTTTATGATATTGTAGAATTTGTTCCAATTTCGTCGAGAATATTCGCAGCCACCGATGTCCACAATGCTACAAAGTTTTCGATGTTTTTCAGCCGAAATTTATATTGCTGTATCATGTAGAGAGATCATATCTTTATGATATGTCTCATCGGCATAACTATCTTCTGATGAAGAATATTACAATTTGAGAAGCTAAAGGCTCACTTAAGATTTGACGAAACAGAGGAGTTGTATATATTATAGTATATTAGGAGCTTTTCTCCTTTTGTACTCATTCCATCGTAAGTATAACATTTAGTAGTCCCTATTAAAATGATAAGAAACCTATTTAGGACAATGCAAGAATCCAGATTATTTTATTTGAGTTCAGAATTTGCAATTAAAATTAAGAGTATCTACCTGATCGATGCAAATGAAGTACGGTAATGTATTTGGTCGATTCCTATTGTTGGTGCATACGAATTTAAGATATCTATTTCAGTCGGAATATAATCACTGGCTGTGATTCTTTCAATATTATCGAAGAAACTTCAAAACTCAAATTATCTTCATAATTTCAAAAAATAAGAAAGAAACTGTATTGCGAGATGTGATGATAATTTCAAGAGCGAACAAGTGAAACTTGATAGAGACTACAATCTGCAGTATCTGGAAGCTTTAAATGAAAGACGGGCAGATATAGGAAATATTAATTTTCAAGGTATATTCCCATGATTTTTTCGTCAAAAATTATAACATTGTACGATAGCAATTATTTTTAAAGCCACCTACTATTGAATATTTTGGACAAGCGATAATTTATGGCAAGTTCGAATCAATTTTTGTATTGTACTGTCCTTCGGAATATCTTTAATTGCTCGTAAGCAACGGCCACTTAGCTCATCCAGTGTCTTGTTCGCCAAGATAATATCAAAATTTTCCTGAAAAGGATTACAATTTTGCTGAAAAAACCGGAATTTTCAAGACTTCGGGACAAAGTAGGCATTGATATTAAAACAAGTCAGTTTCACAGTTTGAATAAATTCCGTTTTTTACTTGTTGATATGGAAAGGTTGCAGAGAAAAAAACCCTCTGATTAGAAATATCCAAATCCAGTTCTTTGCAGGCTTGGAGGATGTCATTGTATATTTGAATTACATTTTGTAATAAAATTCTTTGATAGAAGCGTCTTTCCAATGGTTTACATTTCCCGCACAACCTAGAAAAGTAGGAATTTTTAGATGCAGTGAAAATGTGAAGTTTATAAAAGAGACCAATGTCTGCCGTCTCTATTGTCGCATTACTAATGAGTTATGTATCATCTATCTATACAAAATTAGTAAAACATCTTACTGACCAAACAATTTCAGTTAAGATTTAGAATCAAACCCTTTTGTGAAACGAATTGAATGGAAAGAAGTGGATTGAGAAGAAACAGAAAATGTTGGTATAGCATTTCAACTCAACAAGCTTAGGGAGGGCCAAACTTAAAGCAATGTTCTACGAGGTGGCATGTTTCTGTTTCGAATTCTTTGGATCACGGATGTAATACTTCTCGAATTTTCACTTCATCATCTTATTGATGACTTATTTTTGATGATAACATATGGAAAATATGAACAGCACTTTGCTGGAATCAATTTTATTCAAAACAAATACTGTTTTCGCTGCACCTCTTAAATTTGAACAAATTTTAAGCGCTTCAATTTAATACCTTTCGAGTCGAAAACATGATCTGAAACTGTTTTCGACGATTAGTTATTTTTCACTAAAAGTTATGAATAAAATTTAATTATTATCAAACCTGAATTGTCGGAAAAGTGTTGTTTTTCCTACAGCTGCTGTACCTGCAAAAAAATGTTTTTTAAAGAAAGTAATTCAAGCTAGCACAGTGAAAAGAGAAGAAAGGAAGAAAAAAGAAGCTAAGATAGAAAATCACCGGATAAAAGATAGCACTTCAAATTTCCGAGTGGAACATTTACAACCGCAACAATTATCCGTTTATATATTTGTAACCGAAATGTATTAAGTATACTTGAAAAGTATTTTGTTAAAGATTGCGAATGACGAATTCACAGCGATAATGAACGGAAGAATTTTACAATGAAATAAGTATTCTTATAATACAAAAACAATCCTACAGAATTCAAATATTAATTTGTTCGTATGTCTACTCTGCTTATATTATTTCATTTTTGAAATCATGCAATATTATTGCATCTTTATCACTATTTTTATCATCTTTTTTCTATTTAAAAAGACATAACTTGATTATTTTATGTTACTTCTAAAAATTCGATTACATTACTTATTATTTCAAACCACTTTCTTTCAATTTCTATTTTCTAATTTACTTGCATTGTTGATTTTCTTGTGCATTATCATTTTAAAAAAGAAGAAATGCACCATAATTACTTCTATTTTGCTTCATTTTTCAAGACTACGTGTTCCAATCGTACTAATCATTCTATATCCTCTAATTATCCTCTAAAGCCTATATTAATACTTTTCGTTTTAACAATGTGGAAATTATGAAAAGGAAGTGAAATGATATCGCAATATTCATTCCGCAGGATTTTTAAATTAAATGAGTCGAAAATACCAGCGAAATATATTTAACTGTGAAAATCATGAAAACTCTAGGAAAGGTGAATATGGAAGAAAGAAAGAAGTGGAAAGCTGACGGATATTACAACCTAAAATTTCTGATTTAAAAATTATGAAAAAGTGCGAAAGGGGAAGTGGAGTAAGGAATACAGAAATGTTATGATGATACTCAAATTGATAAAATCATAAATGGACTTCAAGCCTGTCCTACGTACCAAATTCTGTGGCTCGGGTAAAATGAAAATAACGCAGCAAAATGATAGGATCTTATGTCATTCGGATTGTACAGTACTAATTATAAAACGGCATGCAAAACGTTCATATTCTAACCGTATCCTAACTTCTCTTCTTCATTTCATCTCTGACTAGTTCCATGCTTCGCAAAAAACGATGAGCAAAGATGAAATCTGTCGCCAGATTAAGGTAAGTTGTCAAGGCTGTTAAAAATACAACTTATTTGCTCAAAGTGTTATTTTGAGGAAGTTACGGTCTATCAAAAAAAAGAAAAAATTATTTTGAAATGTTGCATGTTTACATGCAACATTTCAACAAACAACTGACGACTTTCAACTATTGGAAATTTTGGTCTCTGACGATTAAAACTTTAAGATCCCTGTGAGTTAGAAATCCCTTCCCACTATTTCTTTTCAAAAACTGTTCGAGAAATAACCTTTGCTCTTTAAGATGGGTAGATATACCTTCCTCACAAAACATGAAAGCTTGTTAACGGAACACCTCATTTTAGCTTATCATCCATCATCTTACTAGTGCTTTCTGATAATCAGTTAATAGGATTTTGAATCAATAGAAGGTAAGGAGATTTCGAGCTTTTTATTCGACTCATCACAAGCTGAGAAAATTGAACTCGGAATGTCACAATGAGAAACTTCGTCATTCATTTTTTAATCCTGTTTCTCCATAACGTATTTTTTCTTAAATAATATTTAAAGGTATTTAGTATTGGCTAATATAAAGTAGAAAAAGTGGCACAATTAAACAAACATCAACTTATTTGAACAATTCATATATGTGTATTATTGATAGGCTCATATAACAAATTTTATGCTGTTGCCAATATTTTACAGGATAGTCACACTTTAAATCTGATTAACAGTTGTCAGAAGATAGAAAAAACACACCTCAAGTTGGCCAGGAATTTTGCATCACTTAAAATACTTCTTCAAAATGTAGAAGCCCTACCTAAAATTAAAATGTTGATCTTAGCAATGTTGCTTGACGAGTTGTCAGATTGAACCGGTAGAGCAGAACGTTGTAACAACGATGGACGAGAACCCATTTGACGTAAGAATTTTCGATAATGCAGTCTCTACCACTGACTTGAGCAGATAGAGAAGGCAATAACTGCTGGATGAAAATAAACTTTCCTTGCTCGGAGTAATACACTATCACTCTTTCAGTACGAACTGAGTTAATTTGTAGCTTATACGCGCACATGTACACATCCACACAAATATATAACGGAGAAATATAAAGAGATATCTGAGTGGACACTTCCGATCTCACACATGCTCACACCCCACAGACAAATAGTTTCCTTCATCAAGCAGTAAGTCATCTTTAAAAGTCGATATTATGCTGTCTAATGGTTGATGCAATTAAGTTGCAATATCATTTTCGTACCTTTTCAGTGATAACTTACGATTGCGGTAATCAAAATGATGTCCGCCAATCTTCTCTTGTAGAAGCACCATTGAAAAAGGAGATCGATTATTATCAAAGACGTCATAAATATGCGGTTGTGCGACTGACTGCTTACAGCTTTCCCACTACTTTATCTTCTACTACTAAACATATTGTGCTGAAAACGTCAGATACCAGACCTATTGGAAGAAAAAAGCGATATAACAAAATGTGATGACGTCTGCTGACATTCTTTAATCACACAAATAGTTACGAATCCAATCATATGTACTGATGTTATAAGGGATAATTGTTGTTTGGCCTGTTCTTTTACAAAATTATCGCACAGTGCTCACCCTTCTTTCTTCTGAAATGTGTTTAAGATGTAATTTTAATGTGTTGTGATATACTCCAAGCGAAAAATTTAAATGAAATGATGCGAACAATGTGAATGAATAAATATTATTCTTCCGAAGAAAAATTAAAATAATTGCAAGCACTTGAGTTGTCACCCGTAATGGACGACGGCAATTGAGTGTGTCGGTATTAGGAATGGTCATTTTAAGAACAATCTGTAAGTTTCTTATTTCAAATTTAAGTTCGAAATGCGTATAGATTAATAAGAATTGTCTTCTGATGCCAAATCAACATTTAATTTGAATTATCTTCTGATACCAAATCAATATCCCGCTTTCCAACAGTTTCCTCTTTTATCGTTCGATTAGTCTCTAGTGAAACAGCTGAATCATTGAGCCTCGATCTAGATACCAATCCATGACTATCCAAATCATAAAGATCGACAAAAATTTGTGGTAAACGAATCAGGTCTAAATGTATGCGATACCAATCAAGTGCCATTTGGTGTCGAACAGCTGAACAATTATCTCCGTTATTAGTATTTTCTGATAAATGGTATTGAAAAGTCATGCATTTCAAGAAAACGTTCTTTCAGTCTCAAATCTTTTATCTCGAGAGAAGTGAATGGATTCGATAAAATAAGAACAGAGGATCAGGATAAAGCTTCCTTTTCATAAGCACTTTCTCTTGTAAGAAAGAGCTATAATCCTGAGAGGCCGCAAATCAATGACCAACAAGTATTTGAAAAAGTGAAGGAAAAAACAAAACAAACCAATTGATCGGAGTAGTTCGCGTTTTACAAGCAGCGAGTGGAACAGTTCACTTTCCGCCGGTCGTTCTGTTGACAACTGTAATTTGAGCGCATACATCACCCTTTCACGCAAAATGAGCACTTTGTGAGGTTTTTCCAATTTTGGAATATTATCTGAAGTAGTTGATTCCTCTCAGATTACAAGTTGTTGCTTTCGCTCATTAACTTCATCTTTCAAGAATTGGAATAGAAGATCGAGAATTTTATTTCCAAAATTTTATTTCTTCAGTTTTTCTAAAATATCCGTTTCGACTTTTGCAAAACTTAAGATGATAACACTCAAGTTGTGCCAAAAGAAGGCATAACAAATACTTGAGAGGCTTTACCAGAATTAGTTAGTCAAGGTCGTGCACTCGGAAAGCGCACCATAACCTTCAGTTGAGATAAGCTAGTCAATTTAATAATTCTCAGAAAACACAAAGTTATACTGATTATATGTGTATCACGATAAATAGCCGGATAGTCATATTGATTCTAGCAAAACTCATCAAAGCTGTACAAGGATGGACACCGCCAGAATCAATGAAAGTTAGTATGTACATATTTGTACTCAAATTCCAGGAAAGTTTACAAATAAAAACTTGTAAGGGCAGAAATTCAGATTTCAAAGGAAATAAAAACAAACCTTGTGTAAATAGAAGGACGGCACAATACAACCCAAGCAGGCACTCACTAAGCTTATAAGTTCTAAAACGGTCACCAAACTCGAACATTTGTCTAACAAGTACCAATCCATAGATAATACTGAGCTGCTCTTGAGAAAAAGTTATTCCGTGAGAAAATGTCAGTGTCCCCATTCTCGAATTCATAGCACGGCTGATCCAAACAAGCCATACTTCAAAGAATGATGTTTTGACAGCTAAGATTTGATCCCTGTGAGAGATGCTAATGAATCCTACAATGCAGGTATGAAAACTGCAGCAAGTAACATCAATATTCTAAAATTGGCAGTAAGAAAGCATGGAATAATACATTAACTTAAATCTTAGACTTTAAAAAGACACCGATGAAGTATATGAGTTGGATTGAAGAAATTTGTACAAATTCTGGAATTGAAAAAACAAAGTTCCTGAGACAATGGATTTTGTTTTTTAACCTTCGGTCGACAAAAGTATATGTATGAGCAGACAACATTTTGAATATGAAATTCCTTTTCATAATAAAAATGAATTCTGCGTAAAAGAATATAAAAGCGTAACGTAAAAGCAGACCAGGTATGCGCTTGGCAAATTCAATGAAGCGCCCTAAATCTTCGAACAGGGCCCCGTTCATGGAATGCCACAATTGATTTCGGTTAGTGGAGGGTGATTTAGTATTTGAAAGCTGAAATCTTTGTAAGAATTCCTCGGAATATTTAATGAAATTGGGAAGAAAACGATAATAACATATAGGGTGACTAAAAATGTATTCATTTTTACAATGGTAGGTAGTACAGGTCCTATAAAAAAATGGAAACATACATCACGTATTATTCGAGGCTCCAGATCTTTCAAAGTGCTAGGCAGGTAATTGCAGCAAGTCAAGTGAGCCGCAGTCACCTTTTCTATAAAAGTTCGCAAACGTTTTGCAACATCCGCAACTTCGTAATGAGTGAATTTCGATATTTCTTCCCATGAAGGTATATTTTCGTTATCGATTTCATCGCCCTTACGTCGTGGTGTTCGTCCATAACGTACTGCTTAAATGGTTCAATTTAAACTAATCATAAACTTCGGTTCCGATTAAAACTCTGATTGTACAGTTGAATTCCAGTTCTCCGATATAATAATGAACACAACTAGTTCACAACATTGATACATGAGGGAAATAAGCCATTCACACTTCACAATTGCACTCAAGCCAGTCACAATAAGTCACACATCCACCGTATTTTTCGGTAAAAGGTGATACAACTTGAAGTGGAAAGGAAAAAGTACGTACAGTCACGAGACATTCCAACAGCAAGGCATTTCCTAAATCGGCAAAACTGACATCGGTTCCTGTTTAAACGATGTATGTGACACTTTCCATCTCGTAAACATCGATATTCCATTTGCTTTTGAATACTACGTCGGAAGAATCCCTAAATGAACCAATTCCAAACAAAGTCATCATTAACACTATAAATTTATTGCTTTGTATTTTATTGAGAACAAAAAGAGTTATTTTTTTAAGGACTTACTTCGTATACCCGTTATTTTGAGTTTTAAAGTTTTACTTACAAAACAGTAATTAAATAGGGTTCTACTTAAATATTCCTTTCTCCACCGCCCACTTCTTAGTCGTATTGCAATTAAGATAGTGCGCAATGAATTTTGCAATGTCTACATAAAAAAGCGCGAGAGTACTACATTATTTTAAGACATACATTCTTAAGATATCGTTATTGCGTGACATTTGGTTATTGTATGGAAAGGTAGGAAAGGTGGGACCTTATCATTAAAACTATAACAGCGACGGAAATAACGATATAAATAATTTTCAAAAGAAATTTGGCAATTGTAAAGTGCCAGAAAATTTCAACAGTATATATCCATACAGTAAAAAAAAGCATACACAATAAAGTCAATTGATCTTCTATGTCTAATCGTTAGTCAGGCATCGTACCAACCATTTTTACCCACCTAGAACTTCGATCGGAACATATTAGGTTAGTCGATCTTACATTCAAATTTCCTTACAAATCCTTAATCAGAACAATTGATGCAAATAACAAGAACACTAAGTTTTCTGAAGAATTCATGGTTAGGATATGCTTTTACAATGTGTATTCAGGGATCTTCATGAAGTTCGCCATTTTTTGAGTTTTGAATGTCCTGGAATACGAGACAGAGAGAGAGAGAGAGAGAGAGAGAGTAAATGAGATCATTTTGTACCCCTTACGTAATTTCATCGAAATTGATGAAAATAAAAGTTGAAAGATGTTACCTTACATCCCTCACAGGCTGTGACTCCATAATGAAAACCGCTCGATTTGTCGCCACACACCTTACATAATGCCGGCTTGTTACCTGTTGAAGTGTCTGGATAAAGCTCTAAAATTAGATTCCAGTAGGTTTTAGATTCCTTCTTAATGTTCAGAGCAATATATTTACATAAAAATAAACAGGAAATTCCAAACTGAAGTTATACCAACTCGTGCAATCAATGATCAGCTGTGGATTGAAGGAAATATTTTAATGAGAAATATGAAGTAGTACATAAATCAGTTTTGTTCACCAAAAACGTGCAGTGCTGTCAGCGGTAACCTAAACATGTGGTACGCTGCACCTGATCGTCGAATTATCTCGATTATTATGCAGACATGCATCCCTTGAAATTAAAAATTTGCTAAAATTGTTTCACTTCGGGTGCAAATTCGAAATTTCCCTCCCATGCAAGAATTTTCATTTGTCGAATATACCGGATAGAATCGGAAATGAATGCGGTGTACCACACACAGAGAAAGTGACGGTGATAAATTAGAATTTTTCATTTCTGATAAAAATAGCAAGGGTTAAAGAATTAAAACTTTGTTCGCTTTGGCCAAATACCAGAAATGTGATGAATGAATAGAAGTGGAGCAGTGTTTTAATGCAGAACACAAATAAATTTGATCAAAAAAAAATGAAAGTTCCGGACGGAGGTATCGCAATTTTCCTCTAATTCATTTCATTTATTATGACTTTTTTAATGATATGTTTGAAATTCATTTAAATAACGCCGTCCTTAAAAAATTTACACAATGCAAATCTGACTGAGATCTATAGGGAAAAGGGACAAATCAGTTTTTATAATAAATGCAAATCGATGATTTGAGCCACTTTTTTTTCTACAGCGCTTTGAAGAGCCTCATTGCTCCTTTCTGTATGGATCCTGCTAAGCAGTTCTATTCAATTTATTTCATCTTTAAACAATACTTCAAGTCAGAAAAGAACTAGAAATAACGCCTAACGCCTTCTGAGCTTATCGGCAGGCCTAAGTTTAAGCCTACCGACAAGCTCAAATAATTTTATTTAGCGTTAATTAATTATGCAGAGACGTTTCAAAGCGAGTTAGAAAGTGAAAACTATACTGTCATGGTAACTACATTGTTAAACAGATAGTCATAATTTCGATGGACTTTGCTCAGATTTCACAAATTGGTCTTCGTTGTGAAGTACCACAAGTATGTTTACAAAGTGCATTTCTCACTGCTTTCAAATATAGATACGTCACATATTCTCACACACGCAGTACAAAACAAAATACAAACAGTAGTAAACTACTCATTGCTATAAGGACCAGAAAAATCAAAAAAAATTTTGAAAAATCGAGAAACGTTCTAACCGTCTGCAGAATGCGAAGCCAAACGTGACTGCGCATTGTTGGTTGATTCGTTACCGTAGTAAGTCGTATCACAATAACGCACATCAGTGAGGCGCGTTTGTTGTGGATACGACGGTACCCCATTATAGTTTCCGGATGGGATGACGTAACCATTCGTTGAATTCGTTGTTTGATTCTGCGGTATTATTGCAGACCTAGTGTTTGGTTGCTGAAAGTTGGAGGTTGCTACATAGTTACGTTGTGGGAAGGTTTCGGACGATCCATTCCAGTTGTTCTGGATGATATCTACTGGATGTTGAGGTGTTGCATTGTACAGTACAGACCCAGTAGTCGGTTCGGGAACTACTGATGTTGATGATCTTCTTGCCGGTAAAAAAACTGACCCTCTTGATGCTTCATGCGAGGGGATAGGCCTTCTTGGAGCTGACGTTACGAAACTCATCGTTCCAACCTTAACAAATAAGTTGGTTTTTCAATCTCTCGCTATTTACTTAATAAGAGATTAATAATGTTGTCAGATATGAGCGCTGAGTGAATGATCAAAATGTCGTACTGTTCGAAAAATAAGAAGGATTGATCTACGTAAGTTCAACTCTAGACATTAGTTACGAGGAACAAGAAAATACTGATCTATTGTAATCGGCAGAATATTTCGTAAGAGCTTCAGTGGAATATGGGAAAGTCGATTAAAAGCAGTGGATATGTTTCGCTCTAAAAACTCAAAATTGAAGATCACCGCTATTTCCTAAAAGTTCCAATCTGCGTTCTATTCTCCCGCACTATCTCTCTCTCTCTCTTGGAGGTATGCGACTGCTACTTTATTTAACAAATCAGAATATCCAGTCATTCCTATCACTTCAGATATATGAACAAGCGAGAAAGAATAACAATGGAAATCCCTACTGGATGATAAATCGCAGATCTTCAATGTGTGAGCCCAAAGCTCCTCCTCGATGTGTCCACTGCTAAGCTGAACCTCTCCAGTCGTATTTGCATCAGTCAAGGTACCACAGTTATAGCTGTCGTCGCTGACACAGTTCACGTGATCACTACCTCCCCTTCCAACTAACATTCGCTCAGTGTCCTTCCCATGATCATTATTTCATAGCGTAGTGACCAGTGGTGGTTGTTTTACTCTACGTGTACTAGGGTGATCAGGGTACAATAAAACGGAGGGAAAAAGGGAGAGAGAGGGAGAGGGTGGACATTTATGCTGCACAGAGGGAAGGGTTGAAAGAGTGAGATGGACAAGTTAGCGAATAAAGAATGATATGAGCATAGGTCAGAGGTCATCAGCTAACGAGACACACAGATATTTGTGGTACACATATGCTAATACTACTGCCTACAATTACATTCTCCGACACAGTTGAATGGGTGACGAAATAAAAAAAATAGAGGGAAAGTGTAAGGACTAAGAATTTTCCCGGATAGGGCTATTTTCACGCGGAGTCTCTTATAATTCTTCAAGTCCCAGAAAAATTGATGTCCAATGAATTCATATTTCTTACCAATCATAAAATCAACATGCTTAGCATAGCTATTTATTATATAGTAATGATAATCGATTGGCTATGAGCAACTATTTTTATTACCAAATTAAATAAGCTCCCTTAGAAGTTGTTGATGAATTAACGTGTTCGTGACCTCTTTGACAATTTCATTAGTGGCAACAGAAATTCATTTTTCAGGAATCTGTAGAAAAGTTCCAATGACATTTTTGTAGTTGAAAAGTCGTAAGATGTATTTTTTGCTCTCTTAAAATTTCCTCAATATGTTGGTGCTACTCATAACGGAATGTTAAAAAAAGGACTTCATTTTCACAACTTTGTAAACAGTATTTTAAGAAATATCGATTTGAATATGCTTCCTCATCTATGTTAAGAAAAATGCTGGTACATTTGGAAAAATCCAATTCAACTTACCGTTAAAGTTAATTAAAAAATAAGATAGTCGGCAGATAAGTTAAACGACCGCGCCCAGGTAATACATCCATGATATTTGGACAGTAACCAAGCTCTGCTGCATCATCCATTAGTCTTCCGATGTAGTTTGCCGTGGCGAAAGGATGAACTGGTGCTGATGTTTACCGACACCTGTCTAACAAAATTTTCATGTTGCAAAGCTGTATGATCATCCACAGTAAGCGATCATAAAGAGATATGAGTGATATTCGTGATCGCCGCAATCGTCTAATGCAATTCAATGCAAATCGCTTGTGAATAATTCAATATGTGCGAATAAACACTGATTTCTGTGGAATTTCTGGCGCACTTCGAAGGACTACCGATCCAAAAGAGCGGTAATTATTCACAATTCATTAGCTCATTAGAACGAATGCTTTATAGAACGTTTTAAACTTTGGTAATAATGCAATAGCAGTTCTTTGTCTTCTGGAAATTTTGAAGAAACAATAATGTTGAAAATAACAAACCCCTACTCTATACTTTGTAATATCGATTTAAAAAAGTGCTTGCGAAACATTGGCTATAGGAACAAACTAATATCACGGTAGCCAAACTAAATCTGTATACTGATCAATAATTATTCAGATAAGCGCATTGGATATATATATATATATATATATATATGCATTACTTATCGTTAACACTTGATACAACAGCCAAGTTGCCAAGGAAATATCACCTAACGGTTTCAAACACATCTCAGAATTTATATGTCAAACAATCCAGAATTTGCCATGTCTTTTTCACTCTGTTCATTTCTCTCTTAGTGTCTTGCCGTCAGAAAACTATCAATAATTATCAACAGAGGTATGAATAGCTTGAAGTTCATGAAAATCAAGCTACAGATATTCTAAACGGATATGCCAAAAAAAAATCCACACCAAAACGAGTTACTGTTTTAACACAACAGCGAATCCACAAAACTATACTGACTTTAAATGGAAGCTGTAATTTATGGAAACAATGACAATGCTTCTGTACCTAAAAGATTGCTCAAAAATTCCTATCATTTAACCGAAATATACACAACTTTGGAAATAGTTAGAAATGAAATAAGGTGAGCCGTAGTGGAATCAGGGGAAAAATGAATGTGATCTATTCTACATTTATAGATAGTCTGCTTCTAAGCAGGTTTCAACAAGCGTTTTCAACAAGCGTTTCATTGCTACGATACCAGCATTACAACCCGTATCTTTAAGGAAAAGACCTCAGTGATAAACACCATATCCATATATTCCTGTCATTATTACGTCGTCAATACAACATCGGTACTTAACTCTTTGATTTGTATTTCATGAGATTAAAAAAATAAAGTCCATTTATTTCGCCTCCCCAAATGTTCGACAGAGAGAAAGATGAAGGAACGTTTCAAGTGTATGAAGATAACGTTATCGTTTAAATCAGTGGTTTCCAACACGGCAGTCCACGAGGCGGCGGAGCGGTGAACAGAAAGCAGGCATGGGTTGTCCTTATCAATGCTTGATAAATTAATACGTTTGAAGTTTTTGATTAAAGTTTATTTTCAGATTAACAAAATTCATTATTTCTGAACCTTATGGTCCCTACTACAAATAAGAAAAGCCAAAGTATCCCTGGTCGTGAAAAGGTTTAGAACCACTGGTTTAAATGGGAGGCGTTATTCAAGGAATTACGCAGAGCCAATGTTAATTTTGAACAGACAAAAAAGTTGACCAGTATGTTAAGTATAATAAATAAGAATTTTTTAATGCTGCGCCAGTTTTGTGCAATCATTCTGTAAATTTTTATGTTAATTATATATAAATGTACATACTGCAAAATAAATATGAAAATTGAGCGACCACAAATATATTTCTCCTTTTAATATTCAATATTTCAGCTTGGACTACCAGTAAGAATACCTTACTGCCAGAATTTCCCTTCACACGGAAGAAATACTTAAACGACTAGTGAATCAGTTAAAAATTCAAAACGGAACTTTCGCCTGCGGTTCTATGATCGACATTATGAAAGCATATAAGTACAGAATAAATGTCAACTGATAGGATAAATACTCGTAATAAATCACTCAAGTTATTTGGCCAATCCCATTACAACACAGTGACTTCAATAACAAAGGATCAGGATGGGAAAATTGGTGGAGGAATAGTGAGCGCAACAGCCTCCCACTCCACCGGAAAGAAGCAAAGTGCCGCCAATACAGCACTCACCGCAAGTATCAACAGTTGCCAATGCAACAGCAGGACAGATCCGTAAAAGAAACTGAGAAAAGCCGCAAATGCCTGCAAAAAAACCAAAATGGAGTACCATTTGTCGAAGTAAGTTTAGCAAGAAATTGATAACACAAGATGCTTCTCTAGAAAGCATCGATAACCCGACCGGTTCTATAAGGCAGTTCAATGTATCTAGAGGAGACTGTTACTCAATTAGTTAATTGAAATCTCTCAACAGAAGTGAAGCCATATAGCCGACATTGACATAATTAAAAACTGTACCCATTCTTTTCATGCTACAAATGATAAGCATTTGATACTAAAAGATGAAAACGGTTGCTAAAGCATCTATGTTAGAAGATCCTATAAAAAAATAAAACCAAGTAATGCTGGCATGAGACATTAACACATTCTGCTCCACACCACCGCTCTGTTGAATAGGAAGCAGACTATGTGATGCAGGAAGAAACAGAACTTCAGACTAAATTCATTCCATAATTTTTCTCGTCTATTGCAGATGATCAAGAGAGCTAACAAGTTCAATTAATGGTTACCCTAATCTCAATCTTGCCTTCCTTCCAAAGAAAAATTAACAAGAGAGTTGATCTTTTTCTCGTTTATAAATCAGATGAAAGCAATCATTTTATCATTTCAGTATAGCATTGGTTCTCTAATGTTATCCGAAAAATCATTCCGCTTTATCTCCTCAATCAAATTAAAATGCGGCATATGTCATTGACTGTATACGTATTGAATTTCATCTCGCATTATCCTCTAAATCTTCAGCAAGAGCAGACAATCCATTTTGATAAACTCTTTAAGACGTTTATGATACCTGGTAAAATTTGAAAAGACCAAATGCGTTAGAACTGTTGATGGTATAAAGAGAACTGAGAAGTGAATAAATCTGTGTACTCCAACAACTATCCGCAAAACCAAGCATAAAACCACAAATCAGGGTTAATGAATAGCTAAAATTGAACAAAAGTGGCAAGAAGAGTGTGTAAAACTGATTTAATTTATAGTTTACTTTTGTTCGAATAATGGAATCTGCTGCGCATCGTACTTTCATTGTGGATATGAAATACGGATTTTTACGAGTGATGGGATCAATATAGAATATTAAGGAAATTAAAGTAGAGATTACCACCTCATACTATATTATTCTTCTCGGGTAACCGACAGCAGTGATGGGCTAAGAAAATCTAGTACTTCTTTGAAGAGGCTAAAATTAAATGAATTACGAACTCCAATCAAAAAGCAAGTGTCCCCAGTATCATAAGCGTATTTTAAAGACTTTTAGAACTTACTTTGGTTCAATGTAACCCTCCGAATACGTTCTATGTAACGGTGCTTCCATTGGAACATTCAAGAAAATAAAAAGGAAGGCCAACAGATGAACAGTGGTACCCAAAACGATTATTGGATTACGACCATAAGCAACTGATCTATTTGCAAAAACTCCAAACGCAAGACCACCTGTGAACCATAAAAACAATAAAAGTTTCGCGAAAAAAAAAAGAAAAAACAATGAGACATTTTTGCCAAACTTTTATCAAAATCTACTAACATGATGCAAACTTGGACCTTACCAACGACTTGCCCTCCACCAAGAGCAAGAGTATTGTAGGCAATGACTAATCCGTTATCTCTCAACCGTCCAAATGCTGCAAGGCATGCTGAATAAATACCAGTGTAAAATGTCATTTCTATACCCGTATACATAAACACCACGGCAAGCAGTGCCATTCGCCGAGTTACCGCCACACGTAGTGTATTGTCTTAAACAATACAAAATATATTAAAAAGTGCATGCACTTCTTATGACTACAAACCAAGGTGACTTTACAGATTCGTTTCAATACTTCCAGGCCTGAAAATTTTGAAACTTAGTACTTTAAGAACGCCATCGATGAACGGATGTTTGCTTCCAAAATCAGCAACATATAACTTTTTTTTCTGTTTTGACAACTGAAGAAAATGTAACTAACGAAATTCGTCTTTCCACAAAATAACAGTACGTGGTGTTACTGAACCACGCACTGATCGTGTTTCAAAATTAATTCGACCATTAACAATACTGACATCGTTTTCCCCTTCCATTACACCCTCAGTCCTCTCCTCATCACAGTGTTCAGTAGAACATGCCACTCCATCGGGTTTCGTCGGAAGCAGTGCTAATACTATTACACCAATTAAAGTAATCACCGAAAATATTGTATAAATTAGGTTCACCGAAGAAACGATAGAACTGCAAATAATTCTGTTGGGGAACAGTTATTCAGAGCATATATAACTGAAATTTATTCACTACTTATACAATTTTCAGTAGCGTTGTATATACCAATGTGTTTGAGTGTTGCTATATATTAATTGGTTTAAACTATAGTGATCGCACTCAAGACAGTCATCAAAACAGCGACGAAAAGTCAGACAAAAATTAAAAGCAACCTGAAATTTACCAACCCTGAAAAGGAGATGAAGAACAGAAAGAGTCCACCAAAAATGAAGCATGATTGTAGCATAGCCCAAAGAATACCACTGTTACGTGCGACAGTATCAATCCGAGACCAGGCTGTGAGATAGACCCCCTGTCCAGTCCATACCACTAAAATTGGTATTTACCAATGACGTACTAATTTGAGAAATTCGACAGAGGAAATCTCAAAGATGGTCCTACACAGCTGATTCTAAATTTAATATGAAAATTGAATTTAGCTGGTAGCTTCACGGATAACTTACTTGCAGCGCCGAAGCCTGTGAGTGCCGAAAATATATAAAGAGAATACATATTCATGTACATGAAACCAAGCATAAAGATGCAGTACATCAAACCTCCAAAAACCATTGCCCATTTCGAACTTATAGCATTTATTATAGCAGGTGCAAGCAAATTTGAAAATGTAAAAGTCAGGTAAATGATAGCCAAGCTAAAAAGTACTTCAGTTTCTACAGGGAAACAATTCTTATGTTCATTAAATCAATATTTTTTATTATTTAACTGAATATATTATCCAACTCATGTGATTAGTAATGACCGTATTTTGGATGAATAAAAGTAATAACACACTACTACTGACACATTACTGAGTGATATCTATGAGGAAGTCGCCAATCTTCCTATCTGTTACACATGAGCTTTAACTGGATGGAAATATTCCAGAAGAAACATGAATGACGTAATTATGCCTGGCTTGGAAATGTGCTCTAATAATATCGATACCATAACACTGAAAGCGCGAACGACCTGGATAGGAGAAATCGATATCGCTCGGATGTGCAAGAAAAAGCGATAAAAAGATACCTGTAGTAACCGGATTGCTCGGTTATACCTGATGTTGGATGTTTTTCAGCAGCATTTTTGATAACAGCAATCTGTGATTGAGGTAACAATTAAAGCAAAGAAAATTTCATCTTGAGGAAGGGAAAATGTGCCACTGAAAATGAATACATATAAAGTACTTGTCGTCGTTCTGTGTAAATGCAAAGGTCTACTAACCTCAATCATTCCTTGGCTGTTGAAGGCTGAAAATATCAACATGAAGCCCAGGCCAAGCTGGATGATACTACGTAGATCCTTGCCAAATAATCCCATTCGACGCCGCAAGGGGGGAAACTTCATGCGCGTCTCCTGAAAATCATCGCTCAACCGTCAAATGAATTGAACAATGTAGTGAAGTTGTCCCACCAGCACTAAGTTCAGCTGCTCTATCCTCATAATCTCGAGATTTCCCAATACTGCATCATATGACATACCTGAAAACTCACCTTCCACTACCAGAACTATTCAAGAGCTTTCCCTGCTGCTGTATCACTTAAAATCCTTACGTCCAGTCGTAAAGTACTGGTCGGCCGAATTCGCAATGCAGCTTGCTGACGGTGAGGAAGTGTAGGCTGAGTGCTGAAGGTTGTACTGGACTGGAGAGGGTATTCAGGATATCACGACTCTAAGGTTCAGTACCTTAAATTCATCAAACGTTAACGGACAGCAGAGCAATATTAGCTTTCGACAATCTTTTTTTTCTCCTTCAATTTAAATTATGTGGAAGATTTGCAACTATAAATTATGATATTACCGTTTGACAGTTCTCCATTCTCTATACTTTTCTTGACACCAGCACTGCTTAATTGGTGTATTTGACAATGAAAAGCATTATTTATGAAATTGGCTAAAAAGAATACTGCTATTTGGTAAACGAAATTTCAATCCCATACGAAACTGTTTGCCTTTAATGAGTAATAGC